CTACATATAAGTCAACAAATCTTGCGAACTCACATAAACATGGAACAAGTTTATCCAAGAATCATATTATTTTGAGAGCAATGGGAGGCGATGCCTACAAGGACAGCCTCCAACCGTGGTTTGCCATCCAAAGCTAAGCTCCATGTAACTCTATATAGGTTTTAGAAAAATCTCAAAACTCAAAAACAAAATTGCATCCGATGTAAAAAAGTCTTTTCCTGAATACATGTAATTCAAAAGAAAGAAACGAATCGTATAAGTTTTTGATTATTTTAGTCATATAATTAACGTAATCGCGACACGTAATTCTACACATATTCCATAGAATTATGTGATCGATATAATGTAAGGCTTGAAATTGATTTATTAGTGATATACAAAAGCTTATAAATTAATATAGACATTTATTTATGTACCTCCAACGCGGCGAGGACGAAGGAAGCCAGACAACGGAAAGCTCTTGGTGATTGATGGACCGTATCGAGTTATCGGAGCTACGACCAGACAAAATTTGGTCGTGTGTTCTTAAAACCTCTCTTGCAGCTTCTGGTGAAGTTATAACCACTGAGTTTAAACAACCAAGCTTAAGACTCATGACAGGTCCATAAGTTTTTGAAAGGTCGTAGAATGAGCGGTGTGGGTTCTTTCCGACAAGGTGAATGTTTCCGATGATGGGTAGTCGTGGAGGTCCTGGAGGCGTCGCGGCGGTCCGATGAGATCTCCGTCTGGATCTTGTGGTGGAGATGATAAGGAAAGATGATAAGATAAAGCAAACGAACAAGAACAGAGCTTGTATTACCTTGATGTCCATTTTTGTTTCGTTACTCAAGTGTGGTATTTTATTTTGAAATTTAATATCAAGCTTCAAGTCATCTAGAGCATCTCCAATGGTACACCAAATCCTACACCAAACCTATTTTTTGTGTAAAACCCTCTCCAACCCAACACTATTTTCAACACCAAAATGGTGTAAACTCATTTTTTACATCAAATTTGGTGTAAAAAATGGGTTTACACCATTTTGGTATTGAACTTTTTTTATTTATAAAAAAACTTTCAAATTTTAATCAACTTTAAAATTAATAAAAACATATACAAATTGTGATATTTAAACCCAAAATCTAATATGTTTGATGATAATTAAACAAAAACTTAA